TTGTTAGAGGATCTTATTTTTTTTCTGTATGGCATTCTCAGTGTCCACCTTAGTATCTGGTCTACAATGGGTGCCAAATAATAAATTAATGAATGTCCCCTATTTACATAACCTGAAATGTATGTATACTTTTGGGATCTACAAGTGAAATAAAGTATTGTCTATTAACCATATGAATATTCCCTCTCATCCATAATGTAAGTGAGAAAAATTTAAGACTTGTGCTGTTCAATATTAAGTAGTATAGATATCAGACATTAACTTAACTGTAGAAAGTTATATTCGACAGTACTCATCTAGGCAGTGTGGCATTTTCTTCACACATTCAAAAACTCACCATGTCACTATATAAATTACAATCAATTTAGGTGGTTTAGTAAGTAAAAATATAATTAGATTTAAGTACTTCTAGAAAGATCCCATTTATTATATACGTCTTCATCAAATTGTAGTTGTGAGAGCTTTTAATTCTCAATGTCTCTATAAGCGGTATTTAATAAACTTTAATGACTATAGAAAAACATCCACCTTAAAGATTTTCACACTTGCGCTTCCTAAGTGTAGAATTTCAGACCTACCTGTAGATCCTAATCCTTAACCAAAATACATTAGACCTGTCAGATGATTTTGATATATAGCGACCAAGAATCACCTACTGAAAAAATCTAATCTAAGACTCATAAGAATTTTATATATAATTGCCTCATTTACTCAATAATACATCTGATGTAGTGAGGTCGCAGTAGTGACTGCCTGATTTTGGAATTCCAAAGTTTTAACAATTAAACCTGGAGGAATTTCTGCCAAAACCTGCTGGGTTCTAAGATTTGTTCCCGAGTCTCTGGGATCATGGCCGTTAAGCAGCTTGTTCCAGAGCCAGAGAGGCCCTTTAGTGGCAGTGACTTGGGGTCTCATTGGGGTGAGGAGGAAAGTGCTGGCATGTCTCATCACTGCAGACCCAAACCCGACTGTCCATTGGCCTCTGGAGGATGGCAGTCATCAAGCCACCAAGGGGGAGCAGGCAGAGGTACAGCACCCTTTCTCCCCTAGAGTGGCCTGGCACCTGTATCCTATTGCGGGAACCGGACACATTTCTTCCAAAAGCCGCTGGGTTCCAAGATTTGTTTCTGAGTCTCTGGGATCATAGCCATTAAGCAGTTTGATCAGAAACTAGAGAGGCCTTGCCTCCAATTATGTAGCTGAGCCAGAGGTGATTTGTGGGTGTGTCTCCCACATACCTAACTTCTGGCCATTTACTTTCTTGGTAAACTTGGCCCCAAGTTGTTGGAGTCTGGCCAAAGGCACAGTAGCAATTTGGAGGTATCTGGAAGTCTGAAGGCACTATCAGGCTGCTGATTGTAAATAGAATTTTAAATAGTTATAAAGCATGATAATTTCCAGAATTTTTTTGCCACCATTTAAACATATTTTACATCACCTTTTATTTATTTATTTTATAATAATAATATATCAATATTGTTTTATTGACTGAGAGAGATGTAGCATGCTGCTATAAGATGTTAACATTTAAAAAGCTGGATGTGTAAATATTGAAATTTTGAAAGCATTTTCAGAATTACCCTAAAATATTTTACCCAATAAGATGTTATTTATGTCCTGACTTCTTAGAAGTATTTCTCTGTAAAATTAAATCCTATTCAAAATATCAGTTAATTTGCTCGAGCTCGAGCAGGCCCAGTAACGTCTCCATTGGAGACTTTGTTGTTACTGTGTCTGGCATATCCAATACTCTCGGTAGCTTGCCGGGCTCTCCGAGAGGGGCAGAGGAATCAAACTCGGGTCCGCCATGTTGGCTGCGTGCAAGGCAGACGCCCTACCCGCTGTGCTATCGCTCCAGCCCGATAAATACATTAAATATACCATTCAAATAAAACAAGCCTATTACTTGTTTCTATTTCCTCTGGAGAAGAATGATACATAGAGCACTTTTGTTAAGGTCACCCTTTAATAGTTGTTACTCTACGTTTAATTCTTTTCTTTTTTTATTTATTTTTTATTATTATTAGTGAAACACCATGAGGTACAGTTATAATTACATCACCTTTTAAACATTCAAGTGTTCCTAATTTTATTCCCATCATCATCATCATCATCAATTTTTGACAAAATGAGTAAGCTACAGACTCTTTATATTGGAAATATAGATTTTTGTTTGTTTGTTTTCTTTAACACTTCCTTTCCATGTAAAGACTTTTATCAAAATACGCTACATTTTAGTACTTGAAATCCTTATTTTAATTGACTAGGTTATCATGTTTTTATTACTAGATACATGCCTGCACGACAAAGCCTGGCAAGCTACCCGTGACATTTTCGATATGCCAAACAAAGTAACAAGTCTCACAATGGAGACGTTACTGGGCCCTCTCGAGCAAATCGATGACTAACGGGAGGACAGTGCTACTCAATAAAATATGTCAACCCCTTCTATATAATGGGGTCCATTCTAGGGAAGACTGTAAAGATTGAGGAAGAGAAAACATAAGTCGAGAAAAAAAATAATGGGCGATAACTGTTACAAACTGTTCCTCTCCCAGTTAAAAGCAATATGACAGACACTTCCTGTCAAACATGCCACAAGCTTTCCCCCAGGTCAAATTTTGCCTGTCTTTTTCTATATGCAAAAGTCAGTCCAGGAAGGACTTTCTAGTATTTAAAAACAATAGTAGAATAGAAGATGAACCAATAAAAGAAAAGGTGGAAGAAAAGATATTGGAAGAGAAGATGGGGGAAAAAGAGAGAAAAGAAGCAGAAATAAATTGAAAGGAGAATAAAAGAGAAAGGGAGAAGAGAATGGATGTAAGATACTGGAAGGAAGGAAGGACAACACACAAATCCTGTTAGGAGATGCAAGAGAAAAGGATCTGCATGACATTTAGCTTTTCTCACTAGGTTTTGACAATATATATGGGCATTATTTTAAACAATTAATTTGTCTAATGCAGAAAAGATTGCTGTGTGAGGCAGGGAGAAGATTTGATATGCTGATCTCTGAAGAATTTCTCTGATACTTAAAAATAAAGATATCTGTTTGGAGCAATAGCACAGCAGGTAGGGTGTTTGCCTTTCACACGACTGACTTGGGTTCGATTTCCAGCACCCTATATGGTCCTCCGAGCAAAACCAGGAGTAATCCCTAAGTGCAGAGCTAGGAGTAACCCATGAGCATTGCTGGGTGTGACCCCCCAAAAAAGCAAAAACAAAAAAATGAAGATATACAGAAGGTAACTGTGTGTACCATTGCAGATTTCTAATGAGATAGATTTGGAATGCAGCATTGTTATATAAAACTATGAAAGTGAAGGAAGTCTGTAGGAGAAAGAAATTATGCAGTAGAGATATAAGAACAGGTTCAGAAGGATGGAAACTTGGTGAGCATAAAATTTTTAGGTGGAGTGTACCAGACATTGTTGGATTGGTAAATTTTTTGACAGTAAATGATTTCTAGAGAATATCAAGTTGCTGACTTAAAATCTGAGTTTCTAAGATATAATCCCTCATGGAAATTTCCACCAATTGAATATGTTTAAATGATATAAAATGAAGGGACGTTTATAAAAGACAGTGAGAAGGGAAGTCAAACAGTAGTAGGAAAACCAGATTTCCAACTTATGGGAATATATTCATCTGATCTAATGTAAGAGTTATTTTTGTTTGTAAAATCAAATAATCAAGAATACATACTTATAATTAATATACTGGATTCTTCATGGTTCTGACAGTAAGCAATTAAATTCCCCTTACATTCTGGTTTTCTTTTTCTGACTCAAGTCATGGCATAGTTAACTCAGGAAAGTGAGTTTAATGGCATAGATCAACAAGTGCACAAGCTTTCTCCTTCTTCTACAAAGGTATAAAAGAAGAGCAGAATACATCATTAATCATCAGGGAGAGGAAATCAAAACAACAATGAAATATTATCTCACACCACTGAGACTGGCACGCATCCAAATGAATAAGAACAGCCAGTGCTGAAGCAGATATGGGGAGAAGGAACCCTCATTCATTTCTGGTTCAGCCTTTTTGGAAAACAATATGGACATTCCTCAAAAAATTAGAAATAGAGCTCCCATTTGACCCAGAAATACCACTTCTGGGACTATATAAGGGGGTCCAAAAAACACACAGCAGAAACACCATCTGTACTTTTATGTTCACTGCAGCACTATTCACAATAGCCAGAATATGGAAACAACCTGAGTGCCCGAGAACAGACCAATAGATAAAGAAACTATGGTACATCTACACAATGTGCATCTACACAATGAACAAACTTCACAGCTGTTAGGAAAAATGAGGTCACGAAATTTGCCTATAAATTGATGGACTTGGAGAGTATCATGCTGAGTGAAAAGAGTCAGAAGGAGAGGGATGGATATAGAATAACTGCATTCATTTGTGGGATATAAAAAAGTATGAAACTAATATCCTAGGGAAAATGGGTCAGAAAGACTGGTCAATGATTGGAAATTACACAAGGTTATGGGCAGTGGATAGTAGTTAAGAGAGGAATAGAGGAGGGTCCATTATGACAACATTAGTTGGAAATGATCACTCTGGACAAGAACTGAGTGTTGAAAGTAGGTAAAGGGATATACATGATAACCTTTAAGCATCTGTATTGCAAACCATAATGCCTAAAATGAAAGACAGAGAAAGTGAAAGACAGAAAGAGGGAGAGAGAGACAGAGACAGAGAGAAGAGCAGTGCCTGATAAAGAGGCAGGTGGGGGTGGAGGGTGGCTTGGGGAGGTGGAAGGGAAACCGAGGACATTGGTGCTGGGAAATTACACTGGTGGAGGGATGGATGTTGGAACATTGTAATACTGAAACCAATCATAGATTTGTAATGCTCTATCTCACAGTGATTCAATTAAATAAAAATTAAAATGAATGAATAAATAAATAAATAAAATGAGAGCAGAGCAAGACCAGCATGCATTTGAGTTTTACTGGACCTACCTATTATGTTGCACCTACCTGTTGAAGTGATGATGACTGTAAATTGGGTTTCATCTTTTCTTCCAGTTACATTGTTGTAAGCACAGCACACGTAGTCAACTGTCTTCTGGGCTACTTTCTCAGATGCAACTTCCAAATGAGGCCCGTACTTAATGAAATGTGTGGAATTGTCATTTCGTTGGATCCAAGAGTAGGTATTGGGAGGATAAGAATCAGCAGAACAATCAAATAAAATGGCTTCTCCACTGTCAATAGTAAAAACTTCACCTACTTTTAGTCCTTTATCAGAATTAACCCGAAGTCCATAAGGTCCATCTGCAATAATTGAAAAAAGAAACAAAAGGTCAACAGGTAATCATGAGGTTGTTTTTTGTTTTGTTTTGTTTTGAGAGAGTTTAGTGGCATTTATTTCTATGGAAGTTTTCATCTTAAACAGGCCTTAAATGGTCACTCTGAACAAGAACTCAGTGTTGAAAGTGGATCAAGGGCTATACATGCTAGCTTTGTAGTATCTGTATTGCAAATCATAATGCCCAAAATGAAAATGAAAGAGAAAGAGAGAGAGAGAGAGAGAGAGAGAGAGAGAGAGAAGAAGAAGAATAAGAAGAAGAAGAGAGAAGAGAGGTGCGGTATGGGCCATAGCGGCAGGCTGAGGCGAGATAGGGAGTTTGGGAAGTGGGAGGGAAACTGGGGATATTGGTGTTGGGAGTTGTACACTTGTGGAGGGATGGGTGTTTGAAAATTATATAACTGAAACTCAATCATAAGCAGCTTTGTAATGCTCTATCTCATGTGAATCAATAAAAAACATGAAATAAAGTGAAAATTCCACAAAACAAAATAAAAAAATAAACAGATCTTTATTTAAACTCCAGTAAAGGATAAGGACCATTGGTGGAGGCTTCTGGACACTGGTAAAAGGAATCGTGTTGGATAATTGTATGCCTGAAACCCCATCAATATCTTTGTAATTTTATAATTCACAGTGATTCAGTAAAAAAATTTAAATAGAATAAGAAGCTGAAATAATGAAGCCTAGAAGTGGTATATCATTGTTAAGACAATCATCATAAATGTATTGCTAAGCTTTTGAGTAATGTATTGATAAATCTGTATTCTTGTGAGATAAATTTTATCTTACTGAAATACAATTTTACCTGAAATTATTAAAACTAAATTATGAACATTATCTTATTTCTGACAAACACGTTTTGAGTAGTTAGGACTCAAAACTATTTATAAAACACATACTTCTGAATGAAACACAAATTTGTGTATAAAGGAGTGTTTCTGTATTTTTATCACACTTCTTATTGGGAGACTTTGGACCCCATCTGGCAGTATTCAGGGCGTATTCCTGTCAGGAGTGCCAGAAATCACTCCTGGTGGTGCAAGAAAGACCATATATGGAGCTTGAGATCAAACCTGTATCAGTTGCATGCAAGGCAAATATTTGAAACCCTATAATATGTATCAGGGTCAATGACACTTTTATAGTAAAATAATTTTAAAAATTCCTCTCTAATAGCCAAACTTAGAAATTCATTTGGCAAAAAAATTTATTATCATTAAAAAAATTCATTATCGAAAATACTGATTGTTTTTCTGTTTTTCTCATACTACGACTGCAGTATTTTACATAGCATCAGATTGCCAGCAGATAAAGCCATGTGTCCAATTGCTTTATTCAGAGATAGAGAGATTAAAAAATATTCCTAGCTAAATAAATACTTTTTCTCATTCAGTCTTATTCCTAATTGTATGATCAGAATTAAAATATATTCGATCTTTGATAAAGGAAGGCACTTTAAATGCAACGAGCACATTAAATCTTTAGAGGAACCATATAAGATGCTACTATTTCCTTTATCTGATTAAGGTAAAGAAATTTTAAAAATTGTTTCTTATGGGCTGGAGCGATAGCACAATGGGTAGGGTATTTGCCTTGCATGGTTGACCCAGGTTCGATTCCCAGCATCCCATATGGTCCCCTGAGCTCCGCCAGGAGTAATTTCTGAGTGCAGAGTCAGGAGTAATCCCTGTGAATCAACAGGCATGACCCAAAAAGAAAAAAAAGTGTTTGGTTATGTTCATATAGTTATTGACAGCAGAGCCAGTATTTTTTTAGAAGAACTTTTTTTTTTTTTTTTGCTTTTGGGTCACACCCGGAAATGCTCAGGGGTTACTCCTGGCTCTGCACTTAGGAATTACTCCTGACAGTGCTCAGGGGACCATATGTGATACTGAGAATTGAACCCGAGTCAGCCTCGTGCAAGGCATATGCCCTACCCACTGTGCTGTCACTCCAGCCCCAGAGCCAGTATGTATTTAATCATTTATATTACCTCTCTAAAAATATAAATATATAAGAAAATTTTTATAATAGCATAGTTTCTTGTTAACTATATTGTTACTATAAGTTGTCCAAATTACATATGTCTTTACACAGTTAAATGACCTATCAATAAATATTCATATGAAATATCAAATATAAATAACATTTTAGCTCATGAGAGAAAAATACATATATTATAGTTCCTGCTCTCAGTAATTTACAATTACAAGCCATAGATGGTTTGATCAGAAATAACCTAAAGGTTATGACATTTTTGGTAAAAGGGATTTTTATATATTTCTTATAGTACAGAGTAACATACTGATTAAAGAGTTGGATAAACAAGATGAATCCTGATTTGGTTAGTGTTTTGTTGTTATTTAGTAGTTAAACATTCATGTCCCATTTGTCAACCTTTACTATAAAAAGGTTCTCTATATCAGTGTTTCTCAATCTTTTTCTAACTGTGGCACCTTTCAAAATCTTGTTTCCTTCATGTGGTCCCTTGTCCTACTGGTTTGCATTCTAGTCTTGTTTTATTGTCTGCCCACCCACAACCCACCTCCATTTATTATTTTTTCACTTCTGGCCTCAGATAGAAATTAGTCTTAATTACTGATTGCCAAGGTTCACTCTACCTTCAAATCAATATGATACATGCCATGCTAAAGTTATTTTGGATACTGGGAAACCAATCTTAAATTTGCAGGTGATCAGAGTAGTTCTTTACTATGTCAGCATTCTCTGATCTACCCTTGATGAAAAAAAATTCTTGAAGGTATAACAAAAAATAAAGATGTGAAATTATAAAATTATCTTTCAGCTAGTGACACATTTAGCTACTTTATACATATTTGCTTCCTGAAAACTCAGCAAAACATGAAGGACACCTATTTATTTATATTAGTGTGCATATGTGAAATGATCCTATATTCAGGAAGCAAACGTAAAAGCAGTATATTTAAATCTGAAGTAATCAAAAACTGTAGATGAGAACTAAAGTGGAGGATCCCGAGATTGCACTAGAATGCTGTCACACTTTTCTCATATTTTCTTCTGTGAAATAGTCTTGGTGAAAAATAATCACTGGTTAAGATCTATATACTGTCAGGTAAAATCCTCTTTTCTGTATTCTCCTAAATAGTAAGCTGGTGATGGGAATGAAAAGCTGTTTTTACTCACTCAATCAAGATTAATATTGAGTGGTTCCTGTAGCTATAAGCTTGAGTACAGTGTACAGCAATAGGGTCTGTCCCTTCAAGTAGTCAGCATTAATATCAGAGTAGTACAGAAGACCACCAACTGTGGGGAACTAGTTATAGTTGATAGAAGACAATCAATTGGAAGAAACAGTGTCAGTTTGTGAAAAAAAATTAATCTGGAGGCCTTTCTGAGAACAGAGGAAGGCAGCATTGATAAAGAAAAGAAGAGTGGGTATACAAATGTAGCCATTCAGCTCAAGTTTCTGTCTTCCCAATGTTTTTTTTAGAATATGATTATAAAAGTTTCCTGATAATTTAACACACAAGAAAATGTATAATCCTCCTTAGAAATAAAGATGATATTATTCAAAACAATTTTGTGGAGCTAATTTAGAATTGCCTTCGATCCTTCTGACATGATTGAGTATTTTCGGAAGTAATATTTGCAGAATGCTACTTCTGTTTGCAGAAGAATTCCAGTCACTTAGAGTAAGAGTTAGTGAATAAGGCTGGCCACGTAATTTAATGGGGTGACTCTAGTTTAAAGTAAAATATGCCTTTAAAGAGAGAACTCTTATTGTCTTAGCTTCTCATCCTTTATGCTTAATTTGATTTTGCTATTCCTCCATGTTGGCTTTAATAATTGGCACAATCAGATCACTATATGAGCATCACTTCCAGTTCTTGGACCAAATACCTTGAAGCTTTTTAATACTTGCTTATCATACAGTTTATAAAAATTAATACATTTGTATCTGATCACAAGGGCTGGAGCGATAGCAGAGCGATCGGGCGTTTGCTTTGCACGCAGCCGGCTAGGCTGAGCCAGGTTCGATTCCTCCGCCCCTCTAGGAGAGCCCGGCAAGCTACCAAGAGTATCTCGCCTGCACGGCAAAGCCTGGCAAGCTACCTGTGATGTATTCGATGTGCCAAACACAGTAACAACAAGTCTCACAATGGAGACGTTACTGGGCCCGCTTGAGCAAATCGATGAACAACAGGAGGACAGTGACAGTGATCTGATTACATAAGATACGCATTTTCAGGGGTCTGAGGAATAGTGTAGTGGGTAATGTACTTGTGTTTCATGTGGCTGACCCAGGCTCAATCCCTGTACCACATATAGTCCTCTCTAACCTGCCAGGAGTGATCCCTGAGTAAAAAAGCAGGAGTAAGCCCTGAGAACTGCCAAGTATAGCCCCCTACACCCACACAAGTTCATGTCTAAACATTCTAAAATTCAAAGTGTACAAAGATAAAAATTCATTTGTCATTTTACTAGAGACCTGATATCCATGTCAGTGGAATATTTTTTCTAATCTCTTCCTTTCCCTCACTTTCTCACACAATGATCTCTCTTTTTAATCTAACTTTCACACTTCTTAGGATCTGTTCTCTTCTTACTACTCTATGATGTTATTTCCTTTCTCATTAGCACTCCAGGCTGACTATCCTTTTTACTCTGAAGCACAGCCTAGTACATTATTCACGTAGAACAGGCAATTCAATTGAAGACATTAGGAGTGATTCAACCAGTGTGGCCTCTGACATTGAAGATGAAAGCAGATGGATAATTGTATTTTGACTTTGGATTATAGTTCAGTTTCCTGCCTTTGGCAAAGAACTCCCAATAGAAATGAACTCTTTGCCTCAGGAATGGCTGTTAACTAAATGACTTGTAAAATCACATATCATCTGTTCTCTTTAACAATTTATAGCTGGGTGGAAACCATCCCTAAATTTCCATCATGGTGCTGCTTGCCACCCTGCTTGGGAGC